CCACCACCATGGACTACGAATGCCAAGGAACGAATGGCATATGTGCTGGAGTCCGCACAGCTCGTGAAGGCGGACCGTCCGAGTATCCAACTAAGTAAGATTCCCTTGTTCATGACATGTCTCAGAAGGTGAAAAAGATGAAAGTACTACGTTCTTTTCCCCTATGCGATACTTAAACGAATGGCATTCAAGACAAAAATTCACTAGGTTTGTTCATAGTGAACTGTTTTTTTAGAGGAAGAAACTGCCTTGCATTTATAATATGATGGGATAAGCAGAACAACCCGAGTGGATACTTATTATTCATGCTGAGAGTCGGTTCACGAAGCTGTAATGAATAGCGTTAACCTCAACAGAATTCATTGTTGTTCTTCAAAGTCTCAGCGTTCTTTCTCCATAGCGTTCTAACCGTAGTTTTTTCTATACAAAAAGTTTAGCAGAGGAGAGCTAGGAGGTTATTTTTCTCTAGACAGGACGGCTCGTCGCGAGGATTTTTAGGGAAGCTTCGTGGTAACCATGTTCGTATGAATAGCACCAACACAGAAGCTCTTCAGCCATTCAGACCTCCAAAGCTGAATACCATTGTTTACGAGATATACCACTTATATTTATAAAATATACCACAATGATATTTATAAAATATTGTTTGCAGTTGGTTTTAATCTGGCTGGGAAAGCTTACTGCTCAGTTGTAAATTGTTATCATAGTACGCGTTTCTCCAGTTTCTCAGGACTAGGATGTAGACTTGTCATGTAGACAAGTTATTTTTCTAAAGGTCTTTCTATGTTGTTTTGCTGATAACAATGCCGATTCACGCAGAGTTCATTCTGGTACTAACTATTTCACTTTTTCTGTATTCTGATTTCCGATTCGTTGCACTGAGTTTAACTCTTAACTACAAGCAAACCCATACACACTACACGCTTCCATTTCTTGCAAAGAGCTTTTTCTTCATCAGTGACTTTAGCCTGAGCTCTATGATAGTCGCTACAAAAAAGTAATTCTTGTTGCATCCGAAAAGAAAATATCTGGAGAAAACGATCATTTTTGGCACCTATAGGCAGCTCGTAATTTAGCCATTACTTTAAATTTGTCGCATCGAAAAAGACTACAAAATTTTCAGGAAACTAATACGAGATTCAAAATTTTATTTGGGAAAACTACTTTTATCTTCTAGAACCGTCTTCGAAGAACACTCCTCCATCGATGGCGCAATATTTTGGGCAGATACCCTTTTCTCCTTGACCACCCGTTGTTCCGATCTCTCCATGAGTACCTGGCTTTCCTTCATATCCGATTTCACCAGTTGTGCCAAGAGGTCCTTTTGGACCAGGAGCTCCAGGCATGCCAGGATTTCCCGGCTGTCCGTTTGGTCCGGGCGGACCAGGTGACCCAGGTTCTCCAGCTGGTCCTGGACTACCAGGCACAAAAGGTTCCGACGGAGCAGGCGTACCAGGTGCACCTGGACCACCCGGAGCGCCGTCATTACCTCTCGGTCCAGGTGGTCCTTTTGGTCCTGGTTCTCCAACGGCAGCTACGTCTCCATGATTTCCAGCAGAACCTGGTGCACCGGCGTCACCAGGCATTCCAGGTGGTCCAGGCGGACCAGGAGGTCCTGTAGGGCACGGTTTGCAGGGAGGTGGAGTTATTTGTTCACATGGTTGTACGGGCGCCCTTCCAGGAAGGCCCGGTTGTCCAGGAGCTCCAGCTCTTCCAGGTATTCCGGGCTTTCCTGGCATACCAGGAGCACCAGCGGGTCCTGCAACACAACAAGCTTCGCATCCATCACCTTCAGCTTTTCTGGAAATCGCTGCTCCAACAGCGTACGAGGCTTGCCGAGCTGTTCTATTCCGTGATTGTGCTCCGGCCTTGAGCATATGCACTTCAGACCAAATATCTTTCGCAGCGCCCTAAGAATAGTTTCATTAGAACATAGGCACACATTTCTTAAGATATGCTTTGGTATCATTTTTTTATTTTCTGAAGGAAGATACGTAGCTTTCATAACCATTTCACGGAAACCGTTGTAGGAATTTTATGTTTTCCAGCAAAATATCTTAATAAACTTTTAAAAACTATTCAAACAGAAGCAGCAAATGATGCTGATTAGGGCATTTTTGTTAAAGCAACTGTTTCCTCATTCAGATAAAGATTACAAGCAATCCAAATTAAGATGCAGTTATTATTAGTGGAAACGAACTAACTCGGCAGAAGATGATCTCTTGTTGCATATGTCTTTTCACATGGTGCACATAATTGTAGACCATAGGTAGTGTGACGGAAACCGAAAGTACCGCGACAACGGAAAACGTGACGGCCGAGTAGGCGACGAGACGGTAGGCCTTCACCCTTGTTTCGAGGTCCATCGCAGCAAATCTGACGTTCACGAATCGCGCGTCGCTTATAAACAGATGAACAAACCGGCTCGACAGCTGCCGAAGAACTGGTAAGTCAAAGATGGCTAAGCGCACCGTGTCATGTAAGTGAGATAACAACAAGACGGAGTAGCGATTTCGGATTCATTTCGCCGAAACACACGGAATGGAATTTCTCCTGCATGACACGGCCGTAGTGAGACTTCAGGTTTAACATTTTATTTTCTGACTAATATTTCTTCCACGGCAGATTACCTTGTGATATGCAGCCACATGCTGAGATATTTGCAAAACCTGGACTCCAGGCTATATACGAGCCAGCAATTACCCTTTTCGGATGTTCACGTGTTAATCACAACACCAGAGTTGGATACGGAATTTTAATGCATTTGATCAATTTCTAGACAGTTTGTCCGTGCCGTCTGTGCTGTGACTTTTTTACCTGCATTCAGAAAGCTGTGGGTGAATAGTGGCTGTATATCATCGAGCTGCCATTACAGCTTATGAAATTGGTCTTCGGAAAATATTCGGGAACTTAATCCTTGTTAAATGTTGCTAGCTACGTTTTTTCGACATTTAAGCTGATATCTTTAGTAGTACGCGGCAGTCGAAATAATTCTCACAATGTGTCCGGAAGCGCTTCCCACGTTTCATATTTCGGTGCAACCCTTGATTGTGAAGCAGTAATTGCAAATCTGAGCTGATGAAGCAAAGCGACACAAGTCTGACGCCTTCGAAATGTCATTTCCACAATTCTAAAATCATTGTATGTTAAGTATTAGAAAAAGCTACTGCATGGCAAATATTAACGCATGCCATTAATATCAAATATTAGAAATCCATTTATGAATTTCATAAGAACAAGCAAGCTGCCCTTTCTTACCGACTCTACTCAATTGCATTACTAGGATCTAGATAAGATAGAAAATAGCCGAATGAGTTACGACTAGTATGTAGATCACAAGGATGCTGAGATATGCGCGGAACTTCAACCTCAGATGGGCTTCGAGCGTTAGATCACCCTTATTGGAGTTCCTCTGCTATACACCACACCAACCGAAACCATTGTTGCCTTTCTGTCACCTATGTTTTCCTCCATTGGAGCCATCACCCGTCGACGGAAAAGATCTTCAGAGCACAAATCGACCTTGAACCCATTTAAGCGGAAGCTATATCGATATCACAATGTCTTGACTTTTATTTGTTGTTTATTCTTTTTACTATGGCGGAGTACTATATGAAATGCAGCCATGGGGATGTTGACCATGTTTAACCTAGCACCTAGGCACAGGAAAAGCATAGGGAATAGATAAAACTTAGCATAGTATGTAAATTGTTGGTAGATTGGACTAACAAAAGCTACAGTCAGTTCGACTGTGTTTTGACTGCTAGTGAATCACGTCACACTGCACAAGGTTGATTTCACTCTCATAAAGTTGTTTATTAGTCGGCTATCCTTGTAATGAAGTTTAAGGTAACATCCGAGAAAAATCTTCCGGGAAAGTTGGTGGATGGCCTGCAATTCAGAGATTCGGCACATTATTTGATCTTTCTTGAGTATTTGGTCGTTTTGAAAGCCACGAATTCATAAGCGGTGACATAACGCCGTAAACAAATAACTAGTTTTGCTTATGTTATCACCTTTAAAACGATGAAATGCCTTGCTTTCTTTCGAAAACCACATTCTAAGCGTAGAATGTGGCTCTACACAAAGTTCTTCAAGAAAGGTCTGCTTTCTTCCTTTCTTCCTGGATATCAAAGTCTCCTACAACGTTGATATAAAATAGGTTTACGTTTATATGAAATAAAAAGGGATAGAGCTCTTGGCGTTGATCAAACCCTGAGGAATGCATCATGCATTCCACTTCATTAAGCATCGCTTGGAGGTGATTGAATGCATATCTGGCCTTTACTCTCGGTGGTTTACCGATGTATCGGGCCAGTCTGGTATCCTCCTAGACAAGTCTAGTACCAGTTTGCGATCCCGGAGGGATGGAAGGCTTGGTGGGCCATGGCCGCGGTGATCGACTCTATGTGTGTGTTGCAGGGAGCCTCCAACCGCTGCGCCACACGCGCTCTTATATGAAATAATCTAGATAAATTCAAAGAAAAGCAAGAATTGCAAGAACGATAATATCAACTCAGGGTTTTTCAATTCGTGGAACGTAAAGTCCACGGTTCAGTGTTTTTCAATTTCTTCAATGAATTTGATCTGAATAACTCATCATCTGCTCTAGATTTTAACTATAAGACCAAATATTTAAGGATCTTTAGTTCTCGTCTTATAAAGATACTAACTAGTGCTTGAGCTGGAAAGTTTTAATGACGTAGATTCGAGCCCTTGCCTTCTGAATTCTTCAGGAAGAGAAGGAACCGAGCTTATCGCATTCACTTCACTTTTGCCTTGAAGCTGAGCATGATAAACGTTTATCTCATGGGAGAGTAATAATTGAGTTAAAACTACAACGTTACTGAGACATTTGCAAAACTCTGGACTGCAGGTGTCTATGGTGGGAAACGAACGCGATACTGTTCTTTCCGAGAAGTAACGCGTTCACCACCAAACCACGTGAGTCCTTAGTTTCGCCTGTCTCTCAGCTAGTTCTATCGATCAGCGCCATCAGTAATCACCCGTCAATGGGATTGTTTTGGGGAGCTCACATCGGCATTGGACCCAGTTAAGCTGAGGATGTAGTTGAATTCGCAATGTTTTACCTTTTATTTTGTGCCTACTACAATTTTCAAGGCAGGAAAGGACAATAGCGCGTTCATACCTCACCATAGACACCTATGGTCCAGAGTTTTGCAAATATCTTAGCAACTTTGCGGTTGTATTTCGCTTAGTACCCTACCGTGAAAGTTGTAGTAAGCAGAAAATAAAAGGTAAAAAATTGTGTTGGAATCAGAAAACAAAGGCTTTTGTTATCGTCTGAAACCTTGAAATTCTTTGCCGAGTTTCTGGATCTACAAGAGTAATACTTTCACATCCTCCCAACGGTTTACCGCCTCATCATGGCTAGGTGTTCCTGGGTGTCGGACTGCGATGTACAGCGGGGGATTCATTCTCTGACAGGGTCTTGAAAAGGAGTCCCGTGTTTCCATCAGGAAGCCTAGTCAAGAGTCAAGAGTAAAGTAATACCAGAATCCACTACCGTCCTAGTGTCAAAGTCACATGGTGGCAAATCTCCGTTTGATCCACAAGGACTGCAATTACCCGTACTGGTGACGACCTGGGGCAGATTTTGGCCAGGTTAACCTCGGGACTCCAGGGAACCACAGTGACTAGTGGAGACGAGCCATTCAAGTATCAAGTCTCGAGTAACACTTCCACTTGTTGTGTGTAACGTGATTATTGTAACAAAGATGAGAGCGAGTGTCTAACATAATGGATTGCAAGTTTTATTTAAAACAATACAAGTTTATACTCCTTTCATTTTATGACTCAGTTTTTCATTCAACCTAATAAGTCATTATCTGTTTAGTGAAATTATTAGCAATTTACCCGTAAACGTTCTTGTAATCCTGCTGATAAATCTCCCGCCATAAATCTACAAGCTCACCTAAGGTGGAGTACAGTTTTCAAAATGTGCCTTAACCTTGGAAATTTTTTCAACTTGATCCTCGCCGCTTCTATGACTTTTTGAATCATCGTGGTTGGAAGCTGAACCTGAGCCCTAAACTCTTGTATACAACGGGGCTTCCAACGAACGAGGGATCACTCACACTAAATGCAAAGCCGGCATTTTTTACACAAAGGGGCTCCAGTGTTCTACCGTCTCATCAACTCGTAGACTCTACCTGAGAGCCGATTTACTATGTAAACCGAGTAACCATTTCCCATTGTAGCAACGTTGCCTGAGAAGTCCATAAATCCCACCTAGAACCCTGAAATCTGGGGAGTGAACTTTTGTTTTTTCACGGCAAAACCAGACTATACCTGTGGCTACTTTCTTACCAGAAATAGTAGTAAAAGACGCCGTATCTCTAGCGTAATTGCTATCGATGACCTTAGGTCAGGGGAATCTATAGAGCACCTATGCTGCTTGAGTGGGGTGAATGAATCTACTGGTACCTTTCAAACGTTGGTCGACGACTAAAAGAATTAAATAAGTCTCAATCTCCCAGTCCTAACTTTAATCAAACTCTGGCAAGATTTTCTTTTTTAATTTTTAATGGAAGCACAGCAGTAGTCGATCGTATCCTGCAGTAGCTGGACCAAAGGAAAGAGGACAAACATTTTGTAAGAGCTATTACATTATGTAATGTTTATGATGACTTTTTCATTTTCGGCAGGTGGTCTCATGTGCTACAAGGTCTTCAATCTTGGCTAAATGACCATGAGGAAGGAGAGATCTATAGAACTCTTCGACCTCCCGCATATAGTTTTTCTTTTATGAGGACGGTGTCGTTGAATTTAAAGCAAGTTCGAAAAGGTAATACAACACCATCAATGCTTACCGTCTCCGTCCTAGCAACTTAACGCTGAATTAGGAGCTTTTGTAGTAGACGTCGATGGTGGCAACGTCCACTAACTTCGTACTTACGCCTACACAATGCGTTGTACAACATCGTTATTCTATGTCTTGTAAGCTTGAAATCGTTTGTGATAGTCAATCACATAGATCTTCCACGAGGAAACCACGATAAATACAATGAGAAAACCCCATAAGGTAGCATCAGAAAAAGCACGTTTGCTTGTAAAAGCCTAAATCAGAAGAATTCTTTCCTAAAGAACAGATGATCGTCTGACAGTGCTAGATTACCGTTCTGGCGTAGATGTCTAATCGCTGTTGATGAATGTTCTGTCCGATTCATAAAGGGCGACAGTGGATTGCGATTAGGTCCAGACAATCCTCATGCACGATCATCTAGTTTTCCAAAAGATTGCATGTGGAAGAAAAGTGTGAACACAAAACAGCACAAAAAGGTAACTCGAAAATTCGGTTGTCTAATTTTCATCGTCGAAGTCATGACGGTTAATGAGTGGCAATTTGGTCAAACCCCGGCTTTCTCTTGTCATTACGACAAGAGCTAAAGAGGGAAGGGACAAAACAGCGTATCCAGGGAGAGTTTTTTATTTTTTTACACTTTTTATGCCATAATCGTCCTCTGAAGTGCTAATTTTCAAAGTTTTCTCGAGTTCGTTAGTCATATCGCGTTACATGCTCCTAAACGGCGGGCAAAAAGACAAGCAACATTATTAGAGTCTCACCTCCTCTGGAAATAATCTTATTTCCTTATGACTTTACAAAGTGGCATTAGCGTAGATTTTGCCGTAAATCTATCCGTTGTACATTATGTCGACTCATGGCCAATCTTGGTCTCCTCCTCTATGTCAAACAATATCAAGGCAATCAAATCCTCTTATCATTTTAAGACCGCGAACCAAATACACTCCATAATTAGCGGAAGGTGCTTATTTGTGGTGAAAACAACCATTCTCTTCTGCTGGTAATTTTCAGTTGCTGATTTATGAAGCCATAATGAAGAACTTTTAAAAAACTGGCCTTGACTCGATACGATCACGAAGACCTACATCGGAATAATGAATGACTGTAGAGAATCTACTCGGATCACTCTGGCTGTGATGAAGACGAAGGCGCCGAAACGTCAGCCAAATAAATTTTCGCAACGATCTCGTGTTAGATTATCAGTGAAAGGTAGCACAATCGTAGTGGGCCGTTCCAACGGCCTATCATACCATTCCCACCACCTACTTGTATTGAGGCGATAGCTTTTGCAGTCGCCCTTTCTGTGAAGCATCAATTTATCTGAGATCTCTCCATCTCAAAAAAAGCGTAGATCTTCGTCTGTCATTGAAAATCATCAATAAGTAGATATTTATCTAAATGAAGCTATTTGTTTAGCCTCAAACTTAAGAGAGGCAATCGTTTCGCTATGGAGAATCCGTTTGTGGGAGGTTTTCACAAATAAATCGCTTACAAATTCTACCTACTATCACTCACAGGATTTCTGTTCTCACAGTACTACAGATTTACACCTTGCTGTCACATGTCATCACTTACCTTAGCAAGAGGTTTCTGTTAGCAACTTAATTCCCCCATTACTTTAGAAGTTGATTTACGAAAACTCTTCAATCTCCTAATGCATTCGAAAGCACATTGTCACCTCATCTTTCAATTTCGTCTCCAGACCGTTTATGTAAGTGAAGCAAGGTGATTTTACTACACTTCTGTATAACCTTCTGTCCAGCTTTTACAATGAGATTCTTTAGCTTCATAAGTAATTAAACCCATAACTGACTTTCTTTTAACCTTGGCACTGATCTACCTTCTTGATAAGCAAACACGAGGTTGTTACTACAGTATTTTTTCTTATAGACTGGCTAACGTTGCAGCAAACCGCCGAAACCTCAGCTATTTGTGAAGTAATAAATGCTGTAATAACAACCTCGGATTTGCTCTTGAAGCCAAACAGTAAATCACAGGAAATAGTTCTTAATATTTTGAAAGCTATAAGGTCGGTAATAACGAGATTTACAACGTCACAAACACAAAGATTCTTAAAGAAATAGAAAACCACATGCGCATTCAAAACTCTTATCGAACCAATTTCACCTGTAACCATACTAGCGAAATTCTTGAGTCGAAAGGGACGACTCGACTGTGATTTCATTTCAAAATTTTTATAACTATAGGTTAATATTTCTTCTGAGTCAACGACGAGTGCCGTCCTCAAAGAAGATTCCTCCGTCGATGGCACAGTACTTCGGGCAGATGCCACGCTCTCCCGGTCGACCAGGTGGACCTTGTTGCCCTGGATGACCAGGATTTCCATCCGCTCCTGGCTTTCCATCTGGTCCAGGAGGTCCTTTTGCGCCGGGTTGACCTAGAACACACATACCTGCTTTTCTATCTCCCTGCATTTCAGTTTTCTCGCTCTTTAAGTGAATCGACTTTTTATGGGCGGATTGCGTTGCTGAGACGTACTGGATAAATGTGAATTGTGCATTGAAAAATTTTGTGAAACCTACATTTGCTGCAGTAATATCACATTACTTAAAAACTGGAAATCCCACCTGCAACGCCATTGTCTCCGGGAGGTCCAGTAGGCCCAACGAGTCCCTCAGGTCCAGGTTCACCGTCAGGACCAGGATCTCCTGCTTGGGGTGGTTCACAAATGGCTGGCACACCTAGTTCTCCAGGTTCACCTGGAGATCCAGGTCGTCCGCGAGGCCCGTAGGGTCCTTTTGGTCCCTGATCTCCCGGAGCCGCGTCATCTCCAGGCGGTCCCGGTTCGCCATTTACACCATTGTCTCCTGGTTCACCAGGAGGTCCAGGTGGCCCAGGTGGTCCTTGTGGGCAGGGTTTGCATGGTGGAGGAGTGACTACATCGCAGGGCAGTGGAGGAGGGCGCCCAGGATTTCCTGGCATTCCAGGTGCTCCTGGTTTTCCTGGTCGTCCAGGTTTTCCGGGAGCTCCTGGAGCCCCTGGAGGTCCAGGGATGCAACAGCCTGCGCATGTAATATCAGTGTGGTGTCCAGGGTAGACTCGTGGTAAGGGTATGTAACCGGTGTCGTTTTCCGTCTCTGACTCTCCGTAGTCGACTTGACGGGCTGTGCGATTATGCGGAAATTGATGCCGTTTCAAACTGTACACATCGGCCCAGACATCCTTTGTCGATCCCTAGAATGAAAATAACAATCCCACAGCAAAATGAGGAGCTCGCGTAAGATGTAAGCATTACCGCTATTTGGGCGCCTACTTAATATCTCATGACACCAGCTGACTCTCCTAAACCGAAGAAAAATGGCCCGTTTCTCAGTTAATCATTATTTTTCTTAATACCGACCGAATGATGGCTTAAACGCCCATTTGTAAATACACTTTCTTCTTGAAAGAGATTTTACTAAATGCTCTTTTCATCTGCATCCCTTCTTTCCCTGCAATATCAACACTCTATTAAAGTAGTAAGTTTTCCAAAAAGGAGTATTCGAACAATATTTGACATCTAGGTAATCCTTCTAATAAGCACATGACAAAGTATAGATCCTCATCGTCTGCGCGATTGTTTTTATTTTGTTCCTTCAAAAAATGAATGAGTGAATAATGGTATAATGCAACACCATACCATACTTTTCCGCTACGCATTTACTGTAGATTCAAATAGTTGACTGGCTGGAGATTACCTTGCACAAGATGGCTTCGTGGTAAAGTTGCTGGCGAACAGTGTGCACATAGTTGTAGACGATCGGCAGAGTGATGCAAACGGAGAGCACGGCCACCACCGAGAATACTACGGCCGAGTAGGCGACGAACCGGTAGGCCTTGATTTTGGTGTCGATGTTCATGGGCGTGCTTCCGTCTCCATTCCCGGTCACTCCTTTTATATCGCCGGCAGCGATCCGCCCTCATAAAGACTACTTTTTTTGCACTTGCACACGTTGCGAACGCCAACGATAGCAGGTGTGGCCAGTTGGACATAGTCTCGCTTAAAAACGTTTGCGATGATTCAAAGACTTAGTCGTAGGTGAGCAAACGCTCCCTAGCCTAGTTGTTATAGCAGTGCAGAAGAGGAGCTCCTCTTTCCGATAAGGAAAAACTCGCTGGCTGCGAAACTTCCACTACGCGCACTTCAATGGTTTTTCTCCATTCAGGAAGGATGAATGAGGATCTGGAAGAGATGTGACTTCGATACGCCTGCACTTTGTTGCAGGATGTGAGCTGAAACATGTTTGAATGATAAGTGACATTCACACTATTATTCTCGCGCTGTGAAATAAACGGCAATATCGAATTCGTTGCAATTGACGTTTGGTGATGTTCGTTGTGAAACATCCTTAAGTACACAAAATAAGCTAATCAGATAAAGAAAGAAAATTCATAATATTGAATACTTAAAATCTTCTGCAAAGGAGAAAGAAAGAAACAATAAGAGGTACACTGAGAGCTGAAACACAGGCGAAAAGAAGGACCTGAATGGTGCGGTGGTGAACGCGCTACTCCCCGGAAAGGACAATAGCGCGTTCGTTCCCCACTGCAGACACCTTCGGTCCGCAGTTCTGCAAATATCTCAGCATCATTGTGGTTGTAACACACATAATACCCTGCCATGAAAAATTGTAGTGGGTAGTAAATAAAAAATTTTACGAAAGAAGCACTGTTTTACTAAAACAAAAGACGAAAACCGGACTCCCACAATTATCACCTCGACAGAGATGGATCTAAAAAACGGTATTCAAATTAAGTTCCATCTTCGATCACCAAGTTGTTCGTTATTCGTCCTAACCGCAAAGATTTGTCACCAATGACACAATCTTTGTGACTACATCTTGAGGAAAACTGTTTTGAAACACACGGTTCCACAATAATCTCACACATGATGAACGACGTCATAGTGAAACACTCGCCCTCTACCGATTCGAAGGAGACGAAAAGCAGTCGCAATCTACCAACATCCCACCATCCACGATGAGGAAGCAGAGAACAAATGCCGGACGGTGGGAACTTCCACTTGAGCAGCCAGAACGAAAGATATGCAGACGGTCATTCAAAACCAGTACCTCCTTCCCACCGCGACCGAAATTAACGGATTGTTATTCCGGTTAGAAAATCAAAATCACGTCTAGCTTCTTCTACAATTTCTCAGCTTATTGACGGGGGTGGAATTACTTCTCCTTCTTACAATCGTATTGGCCTAAGTGGAGTGTAGAAATTTACATTGAACGATTTTCTCCATGTAATGGACGATAACTTTTGGCAAACATTTCTTTCTTATGACCAAAAATTTCCAGGAATGGCCTTTTTACAAGTGTCCTATTAGCACGTATTTGTTACCTTGGGCGCGCGTGGCGCAGTGGTCGGAGGTGCCCTGGAAAAGACACGTGAAATCGATCCCCACGCCTATGGCCTACCAAACCTGCAATCTCTCCGGGGTCGGCAAATTGGTACCAGACCTGTCTGGGTGGATAGGACCACCGGTTTGATACATCAGCAGAACCACCACGGCTCATTGTATTAGCCAGATATGCATGCAATCACCTCCAAATGATGCTTAATGAAGTCGAGAGCATGGCGCATCCCTCAGCGACTGATCAATGCCGAGAGTTTTATCCTTTATTTTATCCTTTATTTGTTACCTAGTGATAACTTCCAAGGTGAAATCCTTCGGTTTTATTTTAGCTAGGAACGTCTCGAGAAACACCTGAGCTGAAAGTTTTGTATAAAACCTGACTTTTACTTGAACACCACATTCAACAGTGGAAAAGTGGGCAAAAAAGAACTGCACTAGGTAAAATATCCACAATTCACACCTCTACAACATGTACGAAAGTAGCCGTTTCCTCGACATCGTCGAAATGTTTCCTTTGTTAAACACCAGTAGACAAACCTTACTGCACGTGTAGGCCTTGATTCCTTTGCAACACATGCAATTTGTACGAAAAGCAGCCCATTTTGCGAACACGGTTTCTCAATACAATCATGTACATTGGGCGACACGTTCTGTGTACTATGAGCACAGAAGAAAGTAAGTATGAGGAAAGCGTAATCTGCGCATTTTTTTGGGTTCCAAACCCACTTCAAGGTCCGAGTTTTGCTCATACCCCAGCACCTTCATAGCTGTATTTCATATCGTACCCTGCAATAAAGAAGAATAGATAGGTAATAAAATTAAAACGCTTTACAGGAACTGTTTTGTTCAAAGGTTTAAGTAAACTTCGATTTCCTGGCAATTTTATTTCACATCAACATAAGTGAGCATCAATTGAATCGCTGTACTACTTCGGTATTATCACTAAATTTGCTAGTGAGCTCAAACATCGCATAACAGTAGACTTTGAAATAGGCACAGCACTTCAAAAGCAATGGTACGTTTTCTTAAACCTACGCTGCGCAAGAACATTCTCTTTAGACGAACTCCGCAATGGACGTCGGTCTCATGAATCTTAGTCCCAGTTGTTTTTCTTTACAAAGCAGATTCTACGGTTGCGTGCCTGACCACCAGCTCAAACCGCTGATACAGCCAACGGACTGGGTGACGAAAAGCGCAGCGCATGTAGAATCCAGTTGTTGTCCAGTTTTGCGCACATCTCTCGCCGCCGATCGCCGCTCGTTCTCCAGGTAATCCTCGACAATCACATGAATCAGCATCTGGGCTAAACTGATTGATTTCGGCTCAGTTTAGCTGTAACGTTCCATCTAAATAAAAAATAGTGGCGAAAATCTTTACCTTTCAAAAGTCTAAAAATATTCGAATTTGTCACACTTTCTTCGTAAAACTTCCTGCTGCGAAGCCAGGAACCCTAAAATTATACGTGTTACCACGATCTTTTTCCAGAAAAAAAATCAATACCACCATTTTTCTTGTGATTTATTACATCTACATAAATGCCTAAGAGGATAAATCAAGATAAACTAAATTTCGGTGCAGAACTGACAGATCCTAATGTTTGATTATTTTTTTTAATGCTAACCACCTCCACAAATTGCGTGGATTCCAGTATTTCTTTGATTCGGTTCCTTGTATTGCTTGCACTCGTCACCCACGAAGATTCTTCGGGAGCTATCAAAAACGTTCACAATCAAAACATCACCATTCTACAAGATATCAAAAGAGGTGTTAGGCAAGGCGGTATCATCTGGCCAAAATTGTTTAGCGTATCAATGCAAAATGCCATGCGAACACGGGAATCGGGACAACCTTGTCGGTAGAAATCGATGGTTGGCAATTACACCGTGTTCGCGTTGCTGATGGCATCGTTCTTATAACACCAAACATTAGCCAAATAGAGTGAATACTTGGTGGTCTTCAACTGAATTTCACAAAAACGATGCCCCATTCACGCTCAACGGAATGAATATCTCCGAATGTTCTAGCTACGTCTATTAAGGTGGGGGATTCAATATGATAAAAGACATGGCTCCAGTTCTGAGCAAAAGGAGGGTCGGTTAGGGTGCTGTAAAGCCTATCAAGAATGTTGCGAAGAGAACGAGAAACACCCGATTCTGTGCACACATTTTCGATAGCACGATTCCTCCTGCTTTATCGTGTGCTTCAGAAACGTGGTCGCTGCGTAAGCTGGATGAAATATCACTTAATGTTATTGAACACGTAGTTGAAAGCACGATGCTAGGTGTACCCCTTGTCACATAAGTGAGGGAAGCAATCCGATGCTCCGACCTGCGTCAAAGATCAGAAAGCAAAGGTGCCGTTCTACACTCCAAACTGTCGAAGATAAACTGGGCGGGACACGTAATGCATATGAATGACAACGAATAGACAACAGCCGTTAGTGACCGCATTCCTCGAGATGTTAAAGGTACTGCAGGAAGGGCGCCGACCAGATGGTCGGAGTTCTTCACGAAAACTCTGAAGGAAAGGTACGACGCTCAACGACTTGGGAAATGCTCCCGTCGATCAGCAAAGGTCGGCGGATGCGTCTGTGATGAACACCTCGGGAAGCTCTCAGCTAGGTCAGGATTCCACAGATTGACCGTTCAGCATTATAAAGAGGAACAAGAATACTAAAGTTGGAGACGAACCAATATGCGAGTTCGAAGATCTTTGTGAATGATGGATGCAAGGAAACAAATTGAACAAAAGAAATTCTGGAGTCCACACTTTATGTAATGTCGGATGCTGTAAATGGAATGCGAATAAAATATGAAGCTTTTTATAGTTTGCACTTTCGTCTCTAAGTTTTCTGCTTACGTTCTTTTGCACAATTTTTCATAGCTTTTTGAACAATTCCACCGCAGGCGTGTGATGAAGAAAGCTCGTCGAACGTCCAGCCACGGTGCAAAGAGTCAACCTTTGATAGTCAATTTCATGACATTAATGTGTACATCAGCATTTTTAGTCTTTATATTTACTCCCACTCTATGCCGTGATACAATTGAGCCAATGGAAAAGGAATAAACTGCAGGCTAGGAATTAAATTTTGTGCAGATAAATCAATAACGGAAGGCGAACAGCACGTTATTCTTGATCGCCTCCTCACACAGCGATATAGAGAAGAAGCTAAGATCACTACGGATCAGAAATGCCCTGTACTTTTCGACCAAAGATCTGAAGGAAGTGAGCTGGAGGAAAAAAACAAAAGCGGTGCTGGTGAGACATGGTGATGACGATGAAACACACTGACCTGTTAAACAACACGGTGCTTCATGACTACTGGATCTTCGACGACGATCATTTTGGAGTAAAAGAACTGCTCCCGCTTGGAGGCTCAAAAAAGTATATTATTGCGAAGTACTTATGGTTAATACTTTAAATCGACTGTAATGAAACAAACAGACATGGACAAAATAATATTCGGTCGTGGAAAACAAGAAGCGTTTGTGAGGTGAAGAAGTCCATTTAGTCTGTGTTTTTAGATAGTAATTGTAGGACCGCCATAGAGTTCAGCGGTAATTGCAATTCCAATCCTTCCTATGAAAAATGTCCAGCGCTATACCTGAAATCAGGTTTGCAAATCTTTCGCCTCCTTTTCGCATCACAAGGCAATGTCACGTAGATATGACGGACACCACAATTTTATAAAATCAATTCCGCTTGTCAAACATATCAGCTAAGACTGCAAGAAAACACGTACACACACACACATATATATATATACATATACATACACACACGTGTACACAGAGGTGCCATCGTGCCGTCTAGAAGGAATGACGGATTCTGCCAATAGATCCTAGAAAAGTAAACGGATGCTAATGTGCTATGCAAACTATGCACACGTGTTAGTTATGCTTATAACACTGAAGTCTAAGACGGTTTTGACATGTTCATAATACAACCTATGGTCGAATCAGTGGTGGGGAATCTCACGAACGACTTCTTTTACAAAATTACACTTGCACAGCGACAAATGCTACACGAGTGCTGCCTTAGCTGTAATATTACTCGAGGAATAAACCCATCTGATCATCATGTTAAGGAAGAATGGGAAAAAACTTTCCAACGAGTCATCTAAGAGAAGTTGAAAAGTGCACGCCGATGTCGCATTAAACTAGTGACCCATTATTGCAAAACCGATTTTCGTTTAGCTTTGGGCGTTTGGGTGCAGTGGTCGGGGTCGCCTGCAACACACACATGGAATCAATCCCCACGCACATGACCCAGCGAGCCCTCCATTCCTTCAGGGTGCTGCCAAACTTGTTTAGGAGGATAGCAGTACTGGTTCGATACATCGGTAGG